TTGAATAGAATGCAGCAGGGGTTTTGCCAAAGTATGGGAGCACAGTTTGCTTCAGCCGGGAGAGGCAACTGAATTTGGCATGATTGCATTTCAGTTTGATGGAGATGCATGTAATTTTGCAATGAGTATTGCCTTAAGCAGCAGAACTCAAGTAGTCAGGTTTTCTAGGGGCTTGTGTCTTGAGTTCTATGGATTATCTGATGTCTGTTGAGGTGGGAGCTCGCACTAACTCCATTTAGTTCGGCGTGCATAAGGTCCCTCTGTTAGCTGGGTTCTTGCTTCTGTGAAAAGTTTCCACATCTGACTTTTTTGTTTGTTTTAACCTCTGTCATACTGAACAGCAGTTCTTGGAATTGGGAATTGGATGACACAAACATAGAGTATGTTTGCAAGAGACTGACTGACTTGGAAGCAGACTAAAATTAGGATCTTTTCAAATGCTCATTTAACTGCTGGTTAAATACTAGGGATTTGAATTTGCTCTATGTTGTTATGCATTATGTTTACTTTGTTTGTGGTGAAGGATTTGGAAAATACACGTAGTTCTTCACTAACCAATTTTCAAACCAGTTTCAATACACTAGGTAACATAGAAGGCAGACAAACTACTGGATTTCATTGATCACCACCGTATTTTATTTCCAAATGCTTAGTTGCATTTCACTTCATTTTTTATCATTTATATAGTCTTGCCTTTGCAAGAACTAAAATGGTCTTACTGAAATACTTACTGGTTCATCCAATTTTCTTCGCAATTTTATTACGTTTTTTCAAGTTGAAAATTGGGAATAAGCAGTTAGGAAGTAAAAACAGTAGTCCCAGAGATTGCAAATAGCAAATTATAGCTTCCTTGCTTTTCCAGACTGCTAATGAACGTGTACTTTAATGTTGGTCAGTGAAGTATTAATTGAATTTAGAGTGCAGACTTAAAACCACTGCCACAAAGTCGATGCCTCATTTAAATGTAAAATAAAGTATATAAAAGCATTAGAAATTTTTGACATTATGTTTATTTTCAAAAGTGAATACTGAATTGGCTCAGAGTATTTGGAATCAGTGTCAGCATGTTTTTAAGATTTAGGAATCTGAAAATATGGATGCACAGAAAGGGAAAGTGACTTGGCTACTCCTGCTGAATAGATTTGAATATTGCTTGCAATTTCATTTACCTCATATGACATGCATTTTTCTTTCGTTTTGAAGCATTTAAGATATATCAGAAGGAGAACTTGAATCCACAGTGTTCTAATGAACTAATTAAAATGAATTTATGGCTGGATAATGTTGTGGATGGGTTTCTGTTCTGTAGCATGTGACTGATATAGTGCACACTGACAATTAGGGCTTTCCGAACTTGTTTTGCTGAATGAGTCTGGGTGTTTTCCAGCTCTTTTGGCCAGGTGATCTATCAGAATTTATGACTTAAGTTATCTTCGGGGAGTTCCAGTGAAAAAAAGGCATGGAGGATGCTGAAGGTTTTTGACCCTCTGTCTGCTTGTCATCTTGTTACAAACATGCCTCTGACTTGCCTGGAAGTCCCCGTGTTTTGTTCGTAGCAGTTATCCATTAGTGGTAAGATTCAGCACAGAACTTGTGCATACCTAGAGGTTAGTAGCTGCAGTGTCCAAGTGCACCTCCTGATTGCTGGAGAGAGAACCAGGATGTTCTTCATACCTGTCAGGGTTCAGATTTATACTCCAGGACAGTCTTGATGCTGTGCTATTCTTCAAAAAGATTTATTGAATGACAGGAGTGTAGTTTTAGTTTTTAAGGCAGTCATCTGGGGAATGGGAAATGGTTACAATTCCTATAATTTGTGTAGATTATTCCATGTCTTTATTAGGTCTGAAATTCTGGCTGCTACATGCTGTACTTGAGGCTGCACTTGGAACTGTTCAAGAAGTGAAACTAGGAAAGAGTGCCTCATCCACTTGCACGGTGCACTTACGTATAAAGAACATTCTAGTTTGTGCTGGTACCCGCACCTGTTTCTGCACCTGAGGTCTTGGATTTAGACTGTTAAATCTTAAATGTTTTGAGATGGCAAGAGCACATCTCCCTGCCATACCTGAAGTCAGCAAACTGTTCAAGTTAAAAAATTCCTTTAACATTGTCGTACTGCTATGGCATCCTTTGCTTTGGAGCTTATTGTACACCTGATCTGCCTGATTACAAAGCCTTTGTCCCATTGTTGTGACTATTCATTTATTTCTGCTCTTATTTATTTCTTTAATTAATTAATTTGAGGAATAATTTCCCACAACAGTGGTAGGGCCATATAGATACATTTCTGAAAATATAAAGAAATAAGAGAAAGTTTAGGCTTGCTAGCACCTATTTGCCTTTCTATTTCTTAGCTGAACATTGCCATTAAAATTGCTGGTTAGTTTTGGTTACGTGTGTTGGTCTTTCTTCATATGGCTAGTTGCTTACAAGAAATTGGATGAACTGCTTTTTTTAGAAAACTCTTTAGAGTAGTATTTGGTCACAAACACTGTGGATTCATTCGAATGCCATGGGGCAAATTCAGCTTTTCAGTTCCCTGTAGTATTTGGCCCTGCATTAGGTTTTTAGTTTACTTTTTGTTCAGTTCTCTAAACTGTGATGTTTGTGATTTGATGGATATAAACTTCGGTAGAGTAAGTTGGCAACAATGGTTTTTATTTACTTTTGCAGGAAATTGGATTTTATCTAGTGATATTGCTTGCTTCAAGCAAAACTATCGGTTTTAATTCACTTCTACAATTCAAAAACCCTTTCAAGAAAGGAGCTTGTTTCCTTAGCCTTTCTTTCTGGGAGCCACATGGAAGGGCAGGGCTAGAAATCAGAGGGCACCAGCCTGATGTTGTCACATGCCTGACCTCTGGAGGTACTGGAGTGGCTGAGGTAGAGGCAGAGCTAGATGTGTTGTTCTTCCTCAACATATCTGTAGTTTATTATGTCCCATCGTGTCCCATGAGACCCTTTTTCAGTTTCATTTTCTTGGTGCCTTTATAATAAGGAATAATGTTTTGTATGGGTGGTAGTCAGTTTTTAAATGGGTATAGAAATCCCTTTTATTGATTACACACACCTTGAAAAAGGGCAGGACTGGATTTATGGGTCTGTGTGTATGACCTTTGCCTGTTAGTACTACTGTATTTTTCATACCATATATTAATGAATATATTAATTTGTGAGTTTATGGTATCATCACTGCATTATAAATCATATTGTTATTACACGAGAAGATCATTATTCAGTGTGCGTTGTACGGTACTGGCAGGTAGGGACTCCCAGTTGAAGCTGTGAGAGAGAATCTTCTTGTAACATGACAATAAAAATTTTTTCTAAGGAAGCGATTCTTTAAGGCATTCCATTTACAGTTTTCAGAGTGATTGCACAACTGAAGGATCAGGTACTAAGAGCTTGTCTTGTTTACTCATCGTCATGTGGATATTGAAAACTGATAATCCTTTAGATTTATACTGGTTTTTAATACACAACCATTGCTGTTGTACATGGAGTCGTGGAAGGCTCTGTGGGAACGCTGTTGATAGGGAATAAACTGGCTTTTTTTATTTACTTGTGTTTTTCTGCTTTTTTTTATTTCTCTTTAAACAATATTGTCTATACCTGTGCTAAGTGCAGTTTGACAATGGCTAAGGTGCTGGTGACAGCTGGGGGTAGCATTTACCATAAGGAAACATCAACTTGTTTCCATTTTCATTGGGAACAGTAGTGACAAACTTGATGGGAGTGGGGGTGGTGGAGGAGGGAGCAGAGGTCTAATGAAAGCACAGCCATTGGCTAACTCTTTAGTCTGGGGAGGGGGATGATCTTGAACTAGACAAATCCTGTTTAAAGAATTGGGTAATTAGTAGTCTTGTCACTCCACAGATTAGCATTTTGAATCCTTTTCAGTAAAAATGCAAAGTGCCTTTATTATTTCCATCTTTCAAAAGGCACATAATTGAAAACTATTGTGTTATTTGAGATGGTTCTTTGAATTGTCTTCAAAAAGAAGATTTTATTTTTTCCCCCATCTGATTGAATGTATTTAGTTGTTTGTTGAATGACAATATATTCAGATTGGATTTGTGCCTTGCGTAACCCCATCTTGTCTGAGGATTGAAAAGGTAGAATGGCCTCACTCCAATTTATTTCTTGTACAGTGTAGCAAAACCAAACCTAACCTGTCATCTCCTCAGTGATCTTACAATAAATATTAATTAGTTTATTAATATTTCATGATCTCTCAGCAGTCTTTCAGTTGTATTTTTCATTCTTTCAACTGACTAATGCTGGGGTCCTTTCTTGCATTCCGTGTTTTGAAGTGGTATTTGTCCTCTAGTGGGCTGACTGACTTTTGTAATCTGAGAGCCACCAGCTTGTTGTCATCATCAATGAAGTATGCAGCCAACACTTAGAAGCAAGAAGATAACCACTTTTAGATGTTTGAACATGATCTTACCCTAATGTTATGGTGTGGGGTTTTTGGAGTTACCCCCTCCCCCCCTTAAATATTTTAAAAATATTTATTTAATCTCTGTCTATTGGGATTCTGATTTAGTGGGCAACACCAGAGGAGTTGCAAATATGCAACACATCCTGGGTGTTTTTGAAGACAAGGAGGGAAAGTGTGAAAGCATAGAGTGTGGTCCTCCTTCTGGTGGATACTGCTGGTTTGAAAGCTTCTGCTCTTACTTCTGAGGATAAGAGGATGCCAAATGGGGAGGAGGGAGGGAGGAGAATGTCTAAGACCCTTTACTGAAGGTAAGTAACTAGTATTTAGACACTAACAAAAGCTTGACAGCTGTTTTTTAAAGCAACTCCGAGAATAAAAGCAATTTAAGAAAATTGTGAATACATCACTATTACTTCTAACTGCAAAATTCAACAAACTTTGTATTTCATTCCATTAATATTAGTAGTTAAACCAAATAAACCAAAGGAAAACACAACCACCCACCTCTTTACCTATCTAACTTAGTTCATGTTTTTACTTGTTTTATTTCTAGCATATTATCAAGTTTCACCGTGCCTCAAAAGCAAATAAAAAGCCCATGCAATTGCCAAGATCTATGGTTAAATCCCTACTCTACCAGATCCTCGATGGAATCCATTACCTCCATGCAAACTGGGTGCTTCACAGGGATCTGGTAAGTGTGGCATGTATTACCTGGTTAGGAAAGTTCCACGTGTGTGTTGTTGGGTAGGACAAGAAAAGTCCCTATTAGTAATCTTGCGTATCGATCCGTACAGCTCTTCCTGTTATTGTTGCAGGAGACCAATTGAGACTTTAAACATGAAAACAAACTATGTTTTCACATTGTTTTTATCTGAGTCATCTGAACTCAGACAATGATACTAGATCCGGTAAAAGGATTGCAGATATCGATATCCGAAAACAGTACGTGGGACAGCTGATATATGTTGGTTGAACATTCTTATAAGTTTGTGCATGACTTTGAAAAGGCATTTAAGTAGGAAAGTGATTGATACTCTTGTACATTTTTTGGCTTACGTGCAAGTTACCATAAAAGCTAGTGAAAGAATAGTTTTTTCATGGAGTATTTCTTTTCCATGTGGTGTTTTTTCTGACCGTGGGAAGAGAACTATAAAAGAGTTATCATCTTGAAATTTCTCATGACCTGAAGTGGCTCTTTAAGTTGACTTCAGATTACAAGGGCAGCCAGTTGCCTTGTCTTAGTTACCCTTTTCCCTTTAAAGTTTTCCATCGCTCCTCATGCTTAAGTGAAGTGCTACCACAGGTTACAAAAAGAATACTAATGTGAGTATGCTGCCACTTGCATTGTAATTAGAGTATTTGGCATGAGACAAACAAATATGATGGTTAATACACCAAACGTCACTAGTAGGTATGGTAGGAAATGTGGTGTAGTCTGGGTATAAAGCCACAGCTTTTATTTGGTTCTTTTCCATAGTTGCCCCAGTATGTCAAAATAGGGCTGCATGTCCAGAAACTTACAATCGCTAATTAAGTTTTGTGAGACATAGATTAGTCTTGAGTCTTTAATAGTAAATAGGGGCTTGGATTAATTTTTGGATGTAGAGCAATTTTTTTTTGAAAGACATGAATAAACCAAGGCAGGCTTGGAATAGAAGTCACGGACATCTTCTGAACTAAATTTTATCTGTTTTTTGTTGTAATACTTAACAACAGCGGCTAGAACGGGTTTCAGATTTTGGTATGGATTGTTTTTTTAGTTTGTTCTTTGGTGTTTATTGTCAGTTTTTCTGTTAAATTCCAAATGTTGGTATACTGGGGAGATGGAGAGGGGTCACCTTTGGAATAGTAACCACGACCAAAAACAGGAAGCATGTACAATCCTGATTTTCATGATACAATTACTACCTTCCTAAGGAGACAGCTGTTGCTTTGGCAGAGTGCTCAGATGTAATTAAATACAGCTTGAGAAGGAACACCTGAAAAGTCTATATCCAACTGTGTTTGAGGGAAATATGCATTCATGGAACTTTTAAATATATATAGACTCAAATGCCATGCATGAATTTGATGTTTTGATAGGAAATACAAGATCTAAGTAATTAAAGTAATAATAACAAATACCCTCAAGAAGTTTCTTGCTGGTGTTGCTATTTCCAGCCTGCAGCACCAGGTATGTTGCGTGACTAGTGCTGCTACTTTACAGTTCTTATCTGTGGTTGACACGTTGCAGCAAAGCTGATGTCTAATGTCTCTGGCTTTCCTTTTGGAATTTTGGGAGATGATTGTTGCTGTTAAAAAACCACTGTTTTTCATGGCTCTGGAATGATAGCACTTGACAGATGTTGGCATAACTGGGAAGGGAGAAGAACAGAAATTTGTGAAATCTTAATGTGGTCTTGATCTACAAGTAAATTTAAGCAGATGGATTCCGGGATACCTCAGTAAGACAAATGAAGCCATTTGGAAAATTGCTTTTATACACTGGTGATTAAAAAGTGTATTCAGAATCCTTTGCCTTTTTAAAATTTGTTGTGGATTCCTGAAGAATTCAGGTACTTCAAATAGTTGTATCTTGAACATGGTAAGAAAAAACCTGATGTTATTCTGGATGTGTCCTCTTGGTACTTGAACTTCAAGGTTAATATAATAATTTAATAACCAGTTTAAATCCTCAGTGAATGAAAAGTCTTTTATATCTGTAATTTTTATTCATATGCTCATACTTGTGATTTTTGCTACTAAGCACAGTACCTCAGGCATGGTTTCACTGGAATCAGTTCCTTGGGTAATACATGAATACCAGCTCCTCAGTGTCTTCTTAAGATGGGGAGCAGTTTTTTTGGTGTTTTTCTCTTAGCTGTTTTAATTTACATCTGCTGGAAAAAATATTTTTCCATTTTATGTAAACCAAATTTTGCATCAAAACACCTTGTACTTTCTTGGTTTAATATAACTCTGTTCTTACTATTTTTAACATGTATTTGGATGTAGACCAAAGATAGTGACATCCATAAAAGTCATGTTACGCTTTTTTCATTGCTTCAAAAAAATATTAGATTCTCCAAGAATATTTATCATAATATTAGTCAAATTCTCCTCAACCATGGAAATGATCTCTAAAATTTATTTAACAAATGTTATGAAAAAACAGAAACATGTCAGATTAGGTATTTGCAAGAGTATGTACTTAGAGAGGTATATGAAGAACATTGTTTAAATCTTAATTTACTAGTGTCTTGAATAAAAGATTTTTTTAAAGAAACTGGAACACCAAGTGTGTTATTTAAAAACCTTAAAATTACGATGGTATTTTTAGTTGTTATTTTTAATATCAGCAGTAGCCAGCAAAAGCGTGACAGGGTAATAGAAGTGGTGAACAATGTGAATTTGCAGACTTGCAATACATGTCCTGTCCTTGGCCTGAGCTAATGGATAGTTGTTACCACAAGGAGACAGTCTCGTTCCCATCTTCACTGCTGCTAGGCATTGCCACCCATGTTACTGGTCTGGCAGGTGATACTCACCTGACTCATGGTGAGCTCATTCATGGAGTTAAACACACAGAAAATATCCACTTTTCACCTGCAGAGCTTGTTTTCTGCAGGTTTAGCTCCCTGAGGGACCTCACTGGGAACAGGAGTTGGCGCAGAGGGAGCGTGAGGCTGGAGGTGGTGGCAGAAAGCTCTACAGGCTGTTCTACCATCATCTGCCATTAGATCATATTATTTTTTTGTTAAAATACACTTTTTTGGTTTTTGGAGAAAGTGCAAGTGTTCCTAAAAGATAAAATCAGTATAATGTTTATGTTTGCCTTGACTCTCTTGTGATACAAGACTTACATCAGCTTGAACTATGCCAAAACAAGTCCAAATTTAGGAAAGTGCCCATATTGAGGCAAACACTGAATACACTCACACTCATACTTCTAGAAGTTTGAAAATAATTTAGTGTAGTGTATCTTTCAATGTTTTGTAAGATTTAGGTTATTTTGTTTCTGACTTCCTTACCCTGAGAGTAGCTGAAAGATGCTAAATGACTTTTAAAGTTTTTTTTTCCTAAGCTGTTGGTTTTGGTCAGTTAAAAAACATTCAGCTGTTAAGGCAAGATTCAAACAAGTATTAAATATGGAACAGAAGCACTAGATGTCTGATTTCTTTAAATAGCATTGTGTCAGCCTGTACACCTTGGAGTTGACCTAAGTCTATGAAAATCCATACACTTGTTCTCCTGTCAACCCATTTTGAGTGGTATTTTGTTGTTGGATTGCATGTCATTGGGCAATGACAATTTTGCCTTTTCAACATAGCGGCACTCCTGAAAGCCATGCACTAGAGGAGGGAGGATTTACTGGCTCTGCTAGCTGCTGGGGCATTTTCTTATGGACAAGAGGTTAGTACAGATGGATATTGGAGAAAAAACCTTTGAGTACTAAGCTTTTGGGTTTTTATAAATGCTCTATATACACTGTGGGCTGCCCACTTGAATGAGATCTAGTATTGTGCTCCATATCTTGAGTCAATAGCAAGTTAGAAGATGCAGCACTTGGAATACAGTATTTCAGGGTGTTCTAATATTTAGATTCTACAGGAACGTTCAGCAAAGGTCTTACTTTGCAGGGATGTCAAAAAATGGAGACTGTCCATATACTGTTTCAAGTGTCTGTTCATGTTAGCAACAGGAAGGATTGGGGCACTTTATTGTGCTAATAACCTCTCTGTAGATGGTGTTATTTGCTTAAGGACAAAACCAGGCTCAGACCATATCCTTTAGAACCTTATAAAAGCAATTTCTGTTTGTAATAGGATGTATTTTCCTGAAGGGGAGGTATTATCTATGAGATGTTTGAAGTGCACAGAATCCATACTGAGGAATTAATTTAAGATTCCATTTACGTCCTTGAGCGTTTCTTTAGAATACTGCTTTGTATTATTAAAACTATGGGGTTGAAAAATGAATGTTGGAAATCAAACTCACCAGAGAAATGCATATTTGTTTTCGTTCCTCCCCCCTTTTCCCTGGGATTATGTTAAATGGCCGCTTTCAGCATTCTGAAATTGAAAACTTGTTTGTTGCAATGATCATATAAACTAAGTCTGTAAAATGAACCAAGTTCCTAAAGTGTTTTTATTATAAATTTAAATACTTGATGACTAAGAATTTCTCAGTTTCTCTTGTACTGACCCTCTACAGCTTTAGAATGTTGTAATAGACTGTGCGTCATTTTGCAAATTAGGGAGATTAATGTACAGCAAAAGTACAGCTCCTTCAGTTTGCAGTCTACAATGTCAGTATAAAAAGCATGAACGGCAGTGGCAAGGAAAGGGTACTTTTCCTATTTCTGTTTTGGGAGGGAATCGGTGGTGATATGGCAGACTTCTGCACCCAAGTGAATAAATCCTGAAGAAAATTCTGGGTGCAGGGTCCTTATATACTGCAGGACAGCTCTTATGGTGATATTCAGTAAAGAAAAGTGGTCGTAGTAAAAACTCAAGGGTGGTTTTTGTCACTTAAAAAGACAACAAACCTTTTAGAATTTTGAAGCTGATAAGTGCAACAACAGAGTGAATCTTGTAATTGAGTTTGTTTCTGGGGAACAGTATGTAGTGGTTGTTGTTTTTCAGGGTTTTCTGGAAACTACAGCCATCTGGAGCCTCCTGTCAGAAGTCAAGCGGAAAGGGAAAGGCCAAA